TCTGGGGCTCCATGCAAGATCTCATCTCGTTGAGGAGTCAGCCCAGAAATATACGGGAGGATCTTGTCAATTATCTCAAGGTAGCTGGGACCATAGTCACCAAGAAAACAATTGGTAATACTACGCCATGAAGGAATGAAATCCTGCAGCGCCCGCAAGATCCCCGTGCTCAAGAACGCACATGTACAGGCCCGTCTGAAGTTTACCAATGAACATCTGAATGATTCAGAGAACTGGGTGAAAGTGTTGTGGTCATATGAGACCAAAATTGAGCTCTTTGGCATCAATTCAACTTGCCGTGTTTGGAGGAGGAGGAGGAATGCTGCCTATGACCCCAAGAACACCATCTCCACCGTCTAACATGGAGGTGGAAACATTATGCTTTTGGGGTGTTTTTCTGCTAAGGGGACAGGACAATTTCACTGCATCAAAGGGACAATGAATGGGGCCATGTACCATCAAATCGTGGGTGAGAACCTCCTTCCCTCAGCCAGCACACTGAAAATGAGTCGTGATGGGTATTCCAGCACAGCAATGACCCAAAACACACAGCCAAGGCAACAAACGAATGATTCAAGAAGAAGCACACTAAGGTCTTAGAGTGGCCTAGCCAATCTCCAGACCTTACTCCCCTAGAAAATCTGTGGAGGGAACTGAAGGTTCTCACTGTCAAATGTCAGCCTCGACACCTTAATGACTTGGAGAGGATCTGCAAAGAGGAGTGGGACAAAATCCCTCCTGAGATGTGTGCAAACCTGGTGGCCAACTACAAGAAACCTCTGACCTCTGTGACTGCCAACAAGGGTTTTGCCACCAAGTACTAAGTCATGTTTTGCGAATGGGTCAAATACTTATTTCACTCATTAAAATGCAAATTGATTTTAATTTTTTGAAATGTATTTTTCTGAATTTTTGTTATTGTTATTCTGTCTCTCACTGTTAAAATAAACCTACCATTAAAATTATAGACTGATCATTTCTTTGTCAGTGGGCAAATGTACAAAATCAGCAGGGGATCAAATAATTTTTTCTCTCATTGTACCACTATGTAATGTATCTACAAGTTACTAAACACATGGTCAGATTAAATGGACTTTTTCATGCTTCTTACATGCTGAATGACTAAAAGACATAAAAATGAACTGATTTTCAAACATGCAACTTAAACCATTTAGTTAGAGCAGGCATGTCAAACTGCCAGTCCACAGGCCGGATGCATCACGCCGAAAGCGCACCCACCCCATTGCCGGCAATGGGGAAACAGTCATGATACATTGTGCGATGTCATGTGACATCGCACGTTTGACATGCCTGAGTTAGAGAATCTGACACAGAGAGCAAGGAAGGACTAACAAGAGCGACTGAACAAGTAGTTCAGAGCTAAACCATATAATACAAGCTAACCTGTATAAAAACCAACTGATACTTCATTTTTAAAACATGAAAAATGGCCTTTGGAGTCTACATTGGAATAAAGGAACTAGGAATTTCTTTTTATCAATGATCATTTTTCTGCCCAGAAAAATAATTCTTCATACATTTAATAGCTTGTGCTGTACAATCTCAACTTAGATACCCTTTGGAATAAGAACTGTAAATTCTAAAAAGGCATCAATACTTGCTTATGAAACCTAAGGATTGGGCAAGAACAGTTAAGTTTAAACAAACATATATGTAGCTATTAATGCGTGAACCAATCATTGTAGTTTCTAAATCATGTGTAGCAACTTTGCATTATGCAAGAATCAGATTGCAGTGTTCAACAAACTCCAGTTAAAACTAATATTAATTTAGTCTCATTGTTATAATTAGCTAGGGCTTATTTTCGGGGTAGGTCTTACTTTCAGGGAAACACAGTAGCATATTAATTCAGTCTCATTATTATTTGTTACATCTGACCCAAAAGATGTGGTACTTATTTGTTTTCATTTTATATATGTACTGTATGTATTCAATTCCTATCCTGCCTTTCTCCAGGGAACCCAAAGCAATCTGCCCATCCAATCTCTTTGTCAATCCACTGAAGACATAAGCATGCCAGCCCTCAGGCTTAGGAGAAACTAATGTTTCAAAAAACAAGAGAATTAAAACATAATCATCCAGAAAAATAACATCCAATAAACAGGCAGTTGTACCACAGCCCACAATTCACAAAAGACAGGAAAAACACTTAATACCCCCCCCCCAAAACACCTAGTACCCACATACATGCAGAGAAAATGCACAACACACATGCACACGCACACAGAGAAAAAAACATTCCTGTCATTCCATACTCTTTACAAGCACACATGGTGCTAAGCTGTTCTTTACTAGGATACTTGATATAGACATTACGGGTAGGGCTTGACTTATGACCACAATTGAACCCAAAGTTTCTGTTGCTAAGACAGTTACGTGAGTTTTGCTCCATTTTACGAACTTTCTTGCCACAGTTCTTAAGTGAATCAGTGTAGTTAGTAACAAGGTTGTTAAGTGACTCTAGCTTCCTCATTGACTACTTGTCAGAAAGTTGCAAAAGGTGATCACATGACCATGGGACACTGCAACTGTCATAAATACACGACAAATGACAAGCATCTAAATTTTGATCACATGACTAAGGGTATACTGCAGCAGTTCTAAGTGTGAAAAACAGTCACTGTAACTTTGAGCGATCACTAAACAAATGGTTATATGTCAATAACTATCTTCAGTTTCACAAGTAATTTGACCCATGCTATGTAAAACTGATAACCAGTACTTTTAGTGCTTTAAGACTGTTCAAAAAACAAAAAAACAAAACAAACAAACAAACCACTGAACAAGACATTTTATAAACGAAACCAACAAAAACAATGATGACATTTGACCCCCAACTTTATTCTGTTCTTTGAAAAGCCTTTTGGGAAACCAGAATTCCCTTTGGCCATTTTGACCTTTAATTAGCTTGTGAGAGGCAAGAAAGACAATGAGTGCAAATAAAGGACTTCTTTGGAACCTCATCGACAATGCCTGTATTCTCAGAGTTTATATTAACTTTACCATCCACTTCTTCAAGCCTTTTATTGGAGAGGTGATTCATAAGCCCTCAGTTAAAAGCAGAGAGAAACTTACCAGACACTAAGATTGACTGTAAAGAGGCTTGTGCCTCAGAGGAAGGAGGATGGGGGGGGGGGGAAGGAAGAGAGAGAAACAGACTCCAAGAAATTTACTTGAATGCTGTCACAGGATTAGAGCTTACTTAATCTGTTTGTAACCATTTAGCAGAAACTGACCTTTCTTCATCAAACAACTAGGGAGGTTCAGAGTGACTGTTCTGATTGTACTTTTGAGAGTTTCCGGAATGAATTTGTCTAAATAAACAAAAACTTGCCTGAATGAAATATTTAGTGAAGGTGATAAAGGAAACTCAACCATTCTCTGACTGCTGTCTGTCTGAAAATAGCAAATTGGCCTGAAAAAAAATTGAGAGAGTTGGCGGTCTTACTGGTTGCCACATCTAAAGGCTTTTAAAGCAGCAATGGGAAAGAAGCAGAGAGACTGATTCAATAAACTGTTTTTAAAGTTAGAACAAGGATGAGCGTAGGAGGATTGGATAGGAATCCTCCCCTGGCCCTTGAAGTCTATGGAGATTCTCAATCATTTAGGTCATGGATGTCCCTGGTTGTTTTTCTTTGAAGGCATTTCGCTTCTCATCCAAGAAGCTGCTTGGGTTAGGATTGGGACTGGCCCTTGAAGCCACCCAGTTTTTCTGTGCAAAGACGTGTTCCATACAAAAGAGCATGTTTTTTCAAATCAAGAGAATTGCCCTGTAGAGCCACAGAAAGCTGACTCCACTGATACCTGTTTTTACCATCTCTGCCCCCAACTTGCTTTTCCACCCAACAAGATGCAACATGGTTGGCAAAGACAGAAAGAATGGTGGTGGCTTTGGATGGATTTAAGGTCTGTCGCCCTGCCTGTTAACTTATATGCAGAGCACATCATGAGAAAGGCAGGGCTAGATGAATCAAAAGTTGGAATTAAGATTGCCGGGAGAAATATCAACAACCTAAGATATGCAGATGATACCACGCTAATGGCAGAAAGTGAAGAGGAACTAAAGAGCTTCTTGATGCGGGTGAAGAAGGAGAGTGCAAAAGTTGGCTTGAAACACAATATTAAGAAAACCAAAATCATGGCATCTGGTCCTCTCAATTCCTGGCAAATAGATGGAGAAGAAATGGAGGTAGTGACAGATTTTATTTTTCTGGGCTCCAAGATCACCTCAGGTGGGGACTGCAGCCAAGAAATTAAAAGATGCTCCTGGGGAGGAAAGCTATGGCAAATCTAGACAGCATACTAAAAAGCAGAGACATCACCCTGCCAACAAAAGTGCGTATAGTCCAGGCCATGGTTTTCCCAGTTGCAATGTATGGCTGTGAAAGTTGGACCATAAAAAAGGCTGAGCGACAAAGAATTGAGGCCTTTGAACTATGGTGCTGGAGAAGACTCCTGCGAGTCCCTTGGACTGCAAGTCATTCAAACTGGTCAGTCCTAGAAGAGATCAATCCCAACTGCTCTTTAGAAGGCCAGATCCTGAAGTCGAAACTCAAATACTTTGGCCACTAATGAGAAGGAAGGACTCACTGGAGAAGGGCCTAATGCTGGGAAAGATTGAGGGCAATAGAAGAAGGGGACGACAGAGAATGAGATGGCTGGATGGAGTCACTGAAGCAGTAGGCGTGAACTTAAATGGACTCCAGAAGATGGTAGAAGACAGGAAGACCTGGAGGAATGTTGTCCATGGGGTCGTGATAGGTCAGACATGACCTCGAATTAACAACAACAACAAGGTTGAAACAGGACCTTAGCCCAAAGGTTCCTCATATACACTGAAAATGCATTACATTCTAATTTCTTACTATTATTTCATTCAATTTAGTAAGTCTTATAATTTGTGAGACACCAACATAAAATAAATAAAAATGGTATTTTCTGCTTGGAGCAACTGAACAATTCCATTCACAGAAGCATACCTGCAACAATCCAGGGATGATGTCTTGTAGGAGCTGGTGTAATGACTCCTTTGAGATTCTCTCAATGACTTTAGTTTGCATTTTAATAGCAGCCAGATTAATTGGATAGTCAGCTGTTTGAACGATGGGACAAAGGACTTTGATGCACTGTTCTGGGTGGATGGAACCAGCCAGTGTGGAAGCTGCTTCCTCGGCAGCTCTCACAACCTATAGTGGATTGAGAAAGACAAGCAGACAATTTTTAAAGTTATAGTGTTACAAAAAATAGTACCTTCACATCCTTAAGAACCATGAGTATAGGCAACAGCAAGCTTATTATATTATATTGGTTGTCTCAGTGACTGAACATTTCTGAATACATTTTTCTATCAGAACACTATAAAAAAAATTCTGCCATTGCCATCAACAGTGGTGAGCATAGGAAACTTAGTTCTGTATTTACCAAACAGATCAGAAGAACTAATTATTGCAGATTAACATACTGCTGAAGGAAATATTAAGAAAAAAGTAGGTGTGACCATATTCTGATTCCAATGACTTATCTTAAACTTGTATATTCTGCATTTTAGGATATGATGGTAACTGTGAAGATCTTCACTGTAATAAATGGAGAGCAAATAAAGTTAATATATTTGTCAAAATGATTTGTTTGCTCTGAATGTATTCCGATATCCATCATAAATAAAAGGTGAATTTTCTACGCAGAATTTATTCTGGTTAGAATATTCTATATACATATGTAAGAACTGCAGAAGGAACTGTGCAGTACAGGATAGATTTTTGCACAGCGATATAGCTGCCTATTCTAATGTTATTTAGATGTGAATCAATGTCTTTTTGTTCAACAGATTAAATGTGTTAGTAGCCATATATTTTCTTTCATTGGCATTCTAAATCATCCATAACATAAATACATATAGCTCCTATATATGTATACTTCCACACATATGGTGTGCATTTATTTCATTCATTTTACTCATAATAATTGGTACTAACTGGTATTATAAAGAAGATACAGTTTTGCTACTATACACTTATGAGAATGAAAGCTGCTTGAGGTATAAAATGAAGCTCAAAAATATAGAATATAGATAACGTTAAGGTATTTTGATAATTATACTTTGTAAAATTATATAAAATCAAAAAATTGGAAAGTTAGCTCATCAATTCCCAACTCTGTGATCAGCACGTCTCTATCCAGCCTTTGCTTAAAGATGTCCAGCAAAGGGAAATTCTACTGTTTAGGTGGTCTTACTGTCGTGTTTTGTGTTCTAAGTTACACTTGAATGTATCTTCCCTGTAATTTAATCATTATTCCATCTCCTGCACTTTGAAACAACGGAGAACAAGTCAGGATTCTCTTCTGAGCTTTTAGGTACCTGAAGAATGCTACTGCATCCTCGTTGCGGATGACTTTTCAAAAAGCTAAAGATTCTGTCCTAGAATTTAAGTTCCCCATGCCCTGTTCATTCTGATCCTTCTTTGTGTAGTTTCAGGTTGTGTGAGTCCATATTAAAGTGACGCTGGAGATGACAAGCTTTCTCAATCATTTGCACAGGTAATTCACAGAGAAATGGACAAAGGCACAAAGTCAAGGTGAGACAACAAAAATGCACGGTAGGGAGAAGCTTGCCAACAAAGGCACTCCTTAAGAACAAAATGTTTTGTCCAAGTGCTTTATCGCAAAATCTGTTACAACTGTTGCTAATTGTGGCTACACATACACAGAAAGCTGTTGTATGAAGACTCTGATTCCAAGAAAACATAATAAAGACATGCTGATTTATTAAAAGGATTAAATCTTTCCTGGCCTTTCACGACAATCCTTATGCCTTGTTGCTTGTTTAACTGAATAAGTCATCATGTGTTTAAAACTCCTGTAAACAGCTAAATAGATGTATAGTGTAGCTTATTCTTTATTCCTATTCTAGGGTCAAAGGCTCTTTTTTTTTGTAAAAAAGATGCTGAGACTCTTGAAAGAGTACAGAGAAGAGCAACAAAGATGATTAGGGGACTGGAGGCTAAAACATATAAGGAACGGTTGCTGGAATTGGGTATGTCTAGTTTAACGAAGAGAAGGACGAGGGGGGACATGATAGCAGTGTTCCAATATGTCAGGAGCTGCCACAAAGAAGAGGGAGTCAAGCTAATCTCCAAGGCTCCTGAAGGCAGAACAAGAAGCAACGGATGGAAACTGATCAAGGAGAGAAGCAACTTAGAACTAAGGAGAAACTTCCTGACTGTTAGAACAATTAACCAATGGAACAGCCTGCCTCCAGAAGAAGTGAATGCTCCAACACTGGAAGTTTTTAAGAAGAGACTGGACAGCCATTTGTCCGAAATGGTATAGGGTTTCCTGCCTGAGAAGGGGGTTGGACTCGATGACCTCCAAGGTCCCTTCCAACTTTATTATTATTATTATTTAAATTTTCACTATTCTATACAGAATTGCGTACCCTTAACTCAACTGCTTTCAATTAGAAAGATTACAGTCCTGTAATAAACCTGGAAAGTCATGGTCTAAATAAATACAAAAATATATACAGGACTAAAGCTAGTTTTAAAAAAATATCACAATAAGAAAATCTGGGTAGATTAAACATAAAATATGATATGTTGAAATAGGTTGAATGTATTCATATTCTTCATTTCATCTTACTTGTCACTGAAGTTCTGGCAAGAAATGGCAACCTTTTTGGGGTTGGGGAAACAACACTACTACTTGAGGAATACCTGCAAAGTAGGTGGGTCTGAAATTTTGGGACCTATGGACATTTTTTTTTCATTTCATTTAGGTAAACTAAACCAATATTTTGGTTTTTAAACCCTGAAACATGTACCCATTAAGATGGTTTTGTAGGTCCTAGAGGCTGCAGATAAGAGTGTCTTAGGGCATATATAGCTAAAAGATGGCTCCCGAGCTAATGTCATTCACATGAGATAGTTAAGTAAATTCTTTAAATGCAGACCCACAAGTAAAGTAAATTTACAGCCACAGTCAATAATGTATGGAAATAGTCAGAGCTATAGGTTAGGAATTCCATTAAGTATGATTTATTTTTCTCTTCATTCTATTTAAACTTAAACTGGCTCATTATTGTTTTGTTTTGTGCTATTGGAATTAATAGTAAGGCATGACCTATAGATGCATTGATTCTTAAACTATAGTATGACACTCAGAATTACCTCTTTATGAGAATCTTTATGCGCTTCTAGGGTCTTCATGATAGTTAGTTCAGCATAATTCTTAAATCTTGCTGGTTGGTTCCTCAGAATTTCTCGCAAAACTCTCAGTGCCAAGGCTCGTATTGAATGCTAAATAAAAGAAATAGCACATCTTTATTTATTAAATTTATATGCCTCTCATTTCACTAACAAGCGACTCTGGGTGCCTTGAAGTCATTTCACTCTTCAAAATCATTAATGCAAGGAATGCATTGCTTGACTAGAATGGACACATATTTTATAAAATCAAATGTTTAAATCAAGAAAAATGAACAAGGCTCAGAAGTGAACACCACAGTAGCCTTGTATCATGGGCCCAAGTTCATTAGCAAAACTCAATAGTATTTTTGCATGAGAACTGAGCTGCTAATAAATATTGGGAGCTTTTATATTATATCAATGTATAAAATAAGCCACTCATTGAACTGTGTATCAAAGAGAATAGCAAACAAATTTATTACATAACCATTTCTGGTTCAGTCTCTTTTGGAAATACATAAAAAAATCTAAAAACTCAAGTTTCATTTCCTTGGAACTTATTTGGTAATGAAGACCAATACTATCTTATTAGTAACACAGGAAGCTAAAGCAGCCTTCCAAGTTTTGCACAAATGTATCTATCCAATTCTTTTGGAGATCACTATTGGTTTTTCGTTCAGTCCTACTCCTCTCTAGTCACTGACACCTTTATCCAAGAAGATCATTATTAGAATATTAGATAACATTTCAGGTTATGTTAATAGTTGAGATGTGTTTTTGGATGAGAACCATTTCAACCACTGACTAGTTCAACCCAGCATATGGTTTAGCTTCCTCAGACTGAACTATGTTAAGTATGCCCCCATGGTTTGGTATTCATCTCTGCAACTCCCAAGCTAACACTTGATTTGTCCCAATTTAAACTTTTGAATATCCGATGACAAGAAGTACCGATAGAAACAAATGGCAAAAAATAACAGGTGTGAATCTTGAGTAAAGTACTCTGTGCTGGGCCCCCCTCCTCAACTGGAGAGATGTCTGGTAAAGGAAGTGAGTAGCGCAGCAATAGTGTTCCAACGTACACCATGCATTTGAGAAATACAAATTTCAAGTGTCACGATATCAGGGTGATGCTCCCTTGGAGAAACTGGAGGTGGAGTTAAATAAATGCCAAATGGTTGGCATTTCTGAGACTGTGGAAGCCAGATTAAACTAAGGAAAACAGAGAACACCATCTAAACGTTAGCCACATATGCTGTAATGAGAGTGCAGGTGGTAAGTATCTATGAGACACAGCAAACCCATAAGCATTATCTTACATCTTTATCTCCAAGTGTTTCAAGTAATAAAAGCAAAATTGTCTTAAAATGTTCCTCCCAAACTCCCAGATTATCTTCTCTTGTAATCTTCAATAATTCAAGAAGGGCTCCTTTCCGTTCTTCTACACGCTCATTATGATTGGATAATTCTTTTAAAAGATCAGCCACCAAGTCAGAATGATCAATGGGCACTGAGAAAAAAAAGTGAAAAAGTAATTTCACTGTAAAGAAAAATAAGCAAGAACTTTAACAGGTGATGGTAGGACTTATACACAATATTTCTAACTAGTATATAAACATAATCTGTCTCCGAATTCTTTAAGTACAAAGATTTTATCTATAATCTAAATATATTCAGTCTCTAACAATTGATTCCCAGTGTTGCCACTTGTCACTATATGCTCATAAAGCAATTCTGAGCAGGCAGGGGGAGCCAGATGAAAACATATGAAGGTTCTGTTCCCATGGCTTTTCCTTTAACCATATATAGCTTTCAGTTCACAAAAAAATGACTTTTGGAGCCTGTCTTCTTTACTGATATGAATGTAGAAGACCACTTACAGAATGTCAGGACCCAAGTCTCATTATTAGAACTGAAAGATGAGCCTGTGGTTGTTGTACCACCTAGCTGAATCATTTGCCCAGGAGAGCAAGATACTGTTACTTATTCCAGCAAGGCTGATTAAGAAATGATGTAAACTGAATTCAAGAAGCTAGTGTCAGTATGATCTTCTGTAACAGTTTAACACCAATGTGTAAATGTTAAGGCAACAATACGTTCAATACTGAATTTAAGAAAATAAATGAAAACCAACCATCGCGAATCTGATCCATATCATCATCAAATACGGCTTCCTTAAGAGCAGTTTTATCATAGGTGCTAATGGTATCAGAATAGGGGTAAGGGTTGTACTCTCGAGCTCGGGGTCCAGAAAAGGCACGTGGGGGCTGGGTGTTGAGCAGAGAAGTCTTGTTATCTAGAGCCATCCTTCCTCCTTCCACCACATCACTGCTTCCACGCATATCAGTGGCTGGTGAGGCAATACCATCATCTCTGGAAACCTGTAGCAATTGGTCAAAGAAAAATGACTTAATTGGGACCAATTTCCATTAAGAGCAACTCTATTATTACTCTGATAATAGGTTACACTGCAAACAACAATCTTTTTCCATTCCGAATCTGATTAGTAGGGCTAAATAAATTAGAACTTTGTTTGCACTAAACCCTAATTTCAAACTGGCAGTTTCTACATGTAGATTTCCTTCATCATCTGTAGCCATTCCAATAAGTTGTTATTCTTTCTGCAGCTGCTGAATAATTTTGAACAATCAGTTATTACACATCAGTCATGCAAGAAGAGTTATTACACATCAGTCATGCAAGAAGAGCAAGGCATCCAAAAAGAGAAACCACCTTCTGGTTGGTGATTCAATTGTAAGGGTTGTAAATTTAGGAGAAAATGTGGAGATTTTAAAAGAGATCAGGTATCTGCCAGGTGCTACTGCCAGCAGAGACAAGAGGCATATTTCTAAGATAGTAAAGAATGCCAGTAAGGACTGTGATATTGATGCTATTGTACAACTTGGCACAAATGATCTGTCCCAGATTTCCAGAGCTTGGGGCAGAAACTTAGTAAGAGGTTTTACCAGTATATAAGGAACAAAAATATGTGGCTAAAGGAGTGGCGTAAAGGGGAAAGCTTTGGTTATATTGTATACAATGTCTGCAGCTGGTCCAATGAAAAACTTACAAAAGAGATGGTTTGCATCTATCGAAGAAAGGGACTGAGTTACTTGGCATTAAAATTACAGACTTTCTGGAGAAACATTTAAACTAAACAACAGGGACAGTGAGTTAATTGACACAGAACATTCTTGTCCTCGGCAATCTAAAAATTATAGGGTTATCTAGTGCATGTAACATAGATGTGTGTGTGGACAAGAATATCAACCTTGCTGTCAAGCAAAATCAAGCTTTTAATAGCGACTGCCACACAAAGTGCACTAATCAAATAGGTGGTAAGAAAATAGGGGAATCCAGGCATCACACAGGTTATGTAGAAAGTAAACACAGGGTCAGTCAGAAAAGACTCAAATGTCTATACACCAATGCAGAGAGTATGAGCAATAAACAGAGTGAATTAGAAATCCAAATAAATGAGGGCAGATATGATATTGTTGCCATTACAGAAACTTGGTGAGATGAAACCCAAAAATGGAACACACAGGTAGAGGGATTTAAATTATTTAAAAGAAACAGACCAAATAAAAGAAGAGGTGAAGTTGCACTATATGTAAGAAATAACTATATCTCTACAGAAATAGAGCACAACAATGATGAAAACTGTCCTGAATGCGTTTCGGTCAACATAAAAAGGGAAAAATTAACAGTGCCACAGATGTATATCATAGGCCATCCAACCAGAGGAAATAGATGAACTTTTTGCTAGACAGATAACTAAGGTATGTTGAAAGCACATCATAATAGTAATGGGGGACTTTAACTACCCTGACATCACCTGAGAGACAAACTCTGTACCAAGTGGAGGATCAAACATTGGGCTCTATCTAACAAAATGAAATTCAATGGTGAAAAAAGTAAGGTTCTATATTTAGGCAAGAAAAACCAAATGTATAAGTACAATATAAGTCCGTGGTGGTGAACCTATGGCACGCAGAGCCCTCTCTGTGGGCATGCGTGCCATTGCCCCAGTCCTAGCTGGGTTTTATAAAACCTTTTCGCTTTACGCCTCCACCGCCATGTGGGAAAAAAAAAGGTTCAATCAATAAATCCAATTTCAACTTCTTGCGTGGAGAAAAAAAGATCTCGCAAAGTTGGGATTGATTGATTGAACTTTTTAGTCCCATCCAGTCAGCCATTACCACCGCAGCCATGCCCACCCAATGGGCCACGCCCACCCAATGGACCATGCCCATCCGGCACTGGACGATACATAAGTGGGTTTTGGGTTGCAGGTTGGGCACTCGGTCTCTAAAAGGTTCGCCATCACTGATATAGGTGGTACCTTGCTCAATAGTAGTAACTGTGAGAGGGACCTTAGAGTCTTAGGGACAATCTCCTAAATGTGAGCCAGCAGTGTGCTGCAGCTGCCAAAAAAGCCAACACAGTTCTAGGCTGCATTAATAGAGGGATAGAATCAAGATCACATGAAATATTAATACCACTTTACAATGCCTTGGTAAGGCCACACTTGGAATGCTGCATCCAGCTTTGGTTACCACGATGTAAAAAAGATGTTAAGACTCTAGAAAGAGTGCAGAAAAGAGCAACAAAGATGACCAGGAGATTGGAGGCTAAAACATATAAAGAATGATTGCTGGAAATGGGTATGTCTAGTTTAATGAAAAGAAGGATTAGGGGTGACATAATAGCTATGTTCCAATATCTCAGGGGTTGCCACAAAGAAGAGGGAGTCAAGCTATTCTCCAAAGCATCTAAAGGCAGGAGAAGAAGCAACAGATGGAAACCAATCAAGGAGAGAAGCAATCTAGACTAAGAAGAAATTTCCTGACAGTTAGAACAATTAACCAGTGGAACAACCTGCCTCTAGAAGCGGTGAATGCTCCAACACTAGAAGTTTTTAAGAAGAGACTGGACAGCCATTTGTCCAAAATGCTATAGGGTTTCCTGCCTGAGCAGGAGGTTGGACTAGATGATCTCCAAGGTCCCTTTCAACTTTACTATTATTATTATATATTAAGCACTTGATTCTAGTGACAAGAAGAATGATATTATTTTACAACTCAGTACAAAAAGTGTATATATTTTAGTTTTATAGGAAAAAATTATGATTTTCCCATCATGTTCTCCATTGCAGGAATGGCAAATATAAAGAAAAGGAAATAGTTATATTTTTAAAAAATGAAACAACATTGTATATATACTGTATACTGTATATAAGTGTACATCAGCATACCTCAAACTGATACTCCTAAAATATGTTATTACTATAGTATTCTGTCAGGCACAAAGAATCATGTTACTTCCAATCAAATTAATTGCTGAAGCCTATACACAAGAATCTAATCAATACTGGCAGCACTAAATTGGTGCCAGATAAGACTTAACAGAATTCAAGAATTCAACTTGGTTTGCTTGTGGGAACTTAACGATTCCCATCTGATTCCTCTTTTGACTCTGCCCCCAGGCTCTGCCTCTTGTTCTTCTACACAATCCAGCAGATCTGGTCAAACTATTATATATAAAAATGCCTAGCTGACAAACTCAATCACCCACGTGTTGTTTGCTTGAAACTAAACAATATAGGAAATGCTCAAAATAGGAAACTATTCATGTAAATGTTCAATTATTAATATCACACAAACATTACACATTTTTTCAATGTCTACTTACAATATCACTGTCCTTCTTTCCATCACGTTTGATTGGCTCATTTAGATCTTCTTGGCTACGAAAACTAAACTTTTCAATTGCTTCTGTAACTCCACGAAGAGAGCTATAAATTTCATCAGAATTTAGGTTTTCCGTGTCATAATCCAGCATGCTGAAGAACGAACATACACGGAATGTTAAAATTAAATAGTGGCTCCTTTGAGATTGAATTAGACATTTTCTCATTTAAAAAGTCAACATTTGAAATTCAATTTTAAAACATGCAACTTTCAGAAGATTTTTCAGCTTGAGCAGCAGGAACTCAGATGTTAATTTCCAGAATGTATAAAAACTACTGAAACTAAACTTATAATTAGACAGCAACAATGCTGGACCTCATCAATTGACCAAGAGAGTAAGGGCTGTATATTTATTATTCAGAGAAGAAACATCTTGCCCTGAGTTAAATTTAAATATAAATGGTAACTTACAAATCATACCATTCTTTTCTAGCTTTGAATTGATCTCTCTTGAACCCTTTTTCTATCCAGTGGGATAAAAATATTAAATAACAAGAACATGGTGAACATGAATATCCAGCATGTCTTTAACTGCACAAATATTATATTTAATGCTTCCCAAGATGTTAAATACATTCTCCTATATAAAAATCCAAAGGCACATTAAAATGGAGTATTTCCCCATGGAATAAAGAAGTTCTAGTATTTTTTTCCTGAAATGTAGCTTCAAATATATGAAAATAAATAAAAAATAGCAATAAAACTAATCATCAGTGATGCAGAAAATTTAACCTATGGTATTGCAGACTCAAGGTAAGAAGGATTTAAACTAATGTTTGGATTTAAATTTTATTCTGCAAGGAATCCAAATCAAAGAATCTAAATTATTACACCTTAATTATTTTTAAATAAAAATCTATCAGCAATTTCTCATCTTCCTCTAGTCGTTTTTTTTCTTATGCTTGCTGGAAAGAGCATTTCCTCTATGTCAGACATGTCAAACTCACAACGTCACATGATGTCATGCAACGTATCGGAGCTTTTTCGCCATTGCCGGCAATGGGGTGGGCGTAGCTTCCCGATGATGTGTCCGGCCTGTGGGCCAGCAGTTTGACACCCTTGCTCTATGTGATTTTTTTCCCCTAAGAGACCACCATAAAAGACTCTAGAATTACAAAAAATACTAATATAATTTAATTCCTTTCTTCCTTAATTATATAAGATGAGGTTTCTCAAATATCAGAATTAAGGCTAAATTTTATTTGGTCTATCATTGGTGTTTTAACCAGATCAGTCACATTACTACTTCAGCAATTTAAGTGAAATATGAAACACTAAGCACAATCTAAAGGTTCTACTAAAAAAAATTGGAAGGCAGGAATGAAGGGCTGTCTACTCTTTTTAGGCTAAAGTTCGAAACACTATTATTTAAAATCCAGGTAACTGATAAGCTAGAAATTAAAACATAAATATAGCTAGTACTTAATTTACAACCATTTGTTTAATGATGGTTCAAAGTTACAGTGGCCCCAGAAAAAGTAAATCACTACCATCTTTGAGGTTGGGTCAATCACACCACTCCCACAGTTATGTGATTGCAATTTGGGAGCTTGGCAACCGGTTCATATTTATAACAGTTGCAGCATCTTCCAGTCATATGATTGCAATTTGCAACCTTCTCAGCCGGCTTCTAACAAGCAAAGTCAATTGGGGAAACCAAATTCACTTAACGACTGTGGGAAAATAATCATAAAACTAAATATTGCTCTCTATTCTGCAGCTGGCGAGTTGCTGTATACAGGGTAGGTAGACTGTGAATAACACAGAAAGCTTTCCTCTGGATCCAGAGAAACAGGCCTACAATTAAAGAGTTCCTCCTATACTACAACAAGCTCAAAACTCTATCTCTGCTAAGAGAATATTTCACAAAATGATGATCTATTCTGAAAACTAGTATTTCATTATTTAAAACTACTTGCCAAAAACAAGATTTATATCTCATGGAAACAGTTCCAGTCCCTGACTTTCTTTCAGTGTACTCTTTCAGCAGCACAGCCCAAGCAACGCTGGCAGGACTGAATGTATATCTGGTGTTTTGGCAAAGCAATAATACCGCACATCCTAAAATCTCAACATGTGACAGCTTGCTGTACTGTAGCCCTGTAGTCAAGTCAGGGAAGCAACAATTATTCTTTTAAACAAACATTCATAGATTCTATATGAGATAAATCATAAATCAAAGAGGAAGTTTTAGAATTCCTTGATAGGCATTAGTTAAGATTATGGCAATTCTTCCTTAACAATATTTTGTGCTGTTAGTTCTACAGCAATATTTCTCTACATAACAATAGTAGTATTTTTTTCCCCTATTGATTGACCAGATGAATACAGAAAGGTAGACATACACCTTATTATTAGTGTTCCTTAAACTACAAGCATGGGTCTGAGAATCTGAATCAATATACTTAATATTCATACAGTCGAATCATAAAAGAAGCAAAATAACTCCAACCCCAATAATTCAAATCAATCATCAATCCTTTTCAGCTACAAAGTGGATTTATTTTCAACAAAACTTTTCAGCACTGCTTGCACACCCACTGTCGGTTTATTATCACTGCCTCTACCTGATGTTTCTTTCTTATACTAATTTTTAGATTGTTATGCTCCTCAAAGGAACTGAACGCTATGTACTGTATAGAACTATGACACATATATTCACAGCAAAATGATAGAGCCACCAGAAACTCAATTTGCATCACAATGTTCATTTTGCAGTTTGTATATTAGTATGGCAAGGAGAAAAAAAGGTCCTATTTTGAATGATAGTCCTTGTTTTCCAGTAAAAAGAAAAAAAGAAAAAAAACACCAAACTTTTCCTAACAAAGCAATTAGGAGTGGATTCAAACAGTATGCATTATTGTAAAATAGTAATTTGGACTACTATTTTGCAAATGTATGGATTATTCCCTATCACTTGTTAAGTGGAATAGATTTCAAATATCAGTGGCATCCAAAGTCTACAAGGGAAGAGCCTTTTTTTTTTAAACCTGAGAATAAGAAAATATCTCACAAAAAAGAACAATTTTGGTGTATTGTTTCTTTAAAAAACCTAATCACATGAACAAGCAAATACATTTAGCCAGTATAAGAGCTGTATGAAATATTGTAGATAATGTAAAAATAAAAGGAAAAAAAAAAGAAAAATGGAAGATCAATTTACAATGAATAAATTACATTATATCAATTTTATACAATAGAAAACAGTGATTCATGCATAAAATTGGAGAAGTTACAAGAAGAACAAAGAGATGAGAAAAAATGTGTGACTTTTAATTGATGTCACAATATTATTTTCCATTGCCACAGCTTCCAACAAGTACAGCCTTAAGGATTCAGAACTTGCCAATGTCTGGGACTCTACATGTATGTCCTAAGTATAAAACCATAATTGCTCTATAAAACAAAGGAAATTTCTTTTAAATATCAGTAATCTTCATCACATTTGGTTGAAGGACAAAAACCTAAATCTATATCATAAATCATTTTTGTTTATTGATGTCCTAATTTTAATTTCACACAGAGTAATGTAAATAGAATAATATTGTAGACTTCTATCTGCTATAATTAAGAATAGTTTTGTGTCTCTTTCAGTGTTCTCATTGTTCTGTTCTTGCACAGCTAGATATCTATCACTGCAAGCAATGATATATTCACACTTTTTCAGGCACTGATGTTGTAATTATATCCTCAAGCTTTGCTAACAAATATGAAGATTAAGATCTACTGAATCTTCATATTGATAGCTGTACAAGTAAGCTTTATACAAACAGGGATAATAAAGGACAAATGCCAGGAAATCTCAACTTGGCCAATAACACATCTGCACAATATGCATCTAAACACTGTTTAAAATTAGATTTATGCTTTCATATAGCCATTTGCAATTTGAAATGCTATTATGTAATAAGCAATCTCTTTTGTTGCAAATAGTATAATTTTGTCATGGTTGACAATTGTAATTTATGATTAATTTTCTTAACTAAAGGGTCTGGGGTTTCCTAGGTAGGTCTCAGAAGTTCACTGTGTCCGCAGACATTTTCCTTGGTATCTCATCAGCTTCCTACCCCAGTTGCTTTTTTAAAATATAATTTTCATTAATAATGGGAAAATGGCATGCTGCAAAGCATCAACTTTAATATCATCTTTATTTACAAGAATGATGCTGGGCCTGCTAATCATTCATTACAGCTGGAAAAGATGGGTGGCTTATACTTTGTTGGGAAATTTTCTTTGCTTCCCTAATATGGCAACCATAAGCATGAAAATGCAAAAAAAGGACATGGCAAGTAGAATTCTAAGAAACTGATGATGGATTGGTTATGTTCCCAATATAGCCATTTTATAAATGGGCAATCACTTCTCCCAATAATTTTTCAAGACATAACATGTCAAAATTCCACAGGGACCCACCAATTCAAAAGGGCTGGGTCTTAAAACAGAGACTGGGCACAAATGCAAAGGCCAGTCTTATGCATGTGAAGTTCAACAAATAAAACTGGAATTCCACCACATGGCAAGTGGGGCAAGTAGGGTAGGAAGTGACATAAAAAATTAATGAGTCTAGTTCTATATTTCTCCAAATGAGTTGACTGGGAAGCTGTACACAGCCAGCAAGTATGCATATAAAATGTCAACTAGATCCTAGCGGTTGACTATTCCTCTCAGCTACTAAGACAGTTGTAGTATTATGCTAAAGGTTTGCAACCTGGTGTCTTCATGCGTGACATTCAAATTTTTATTTTCCAGCCAGTCTTGCTATATAGAGATCACAGGAATTGTAGACAAGCACATCTGAAAGGTGTAGTTACAGTGTCTAACTAAAAGTTCAATATAACTTAATTCTGGTCTTGTGGTTATCTACCACTTGTGGTTTCTTCACAGGTAAAATCTATAAAGGCAAAAGGTGCTGCCTCTTTCCACATCCCCTGGATCTGTCTCTTTGAAAGCACTCATCTGCGCCAAAAGGTAAATAACATTGTGACACCTCTGACAGGTTGGAATAACAGGTGGCTTGTTACCTGGGAGAGTAAGAGCGCCTGAAAGTCTTGTGAGAAGGAGCAGCGGGGATGGAGTTAGGCTGAAAAAGGGG